TATAAAATAAATATCAAAAATATAAGTCTTTGTCTTATTATGGTTGCAAACATCAAAAAATTTCTATATGTGACCTGGCACCAGAGTTAAGTTAGGGTTTTTCAAAATGCTGACACGCCAAGCTCAAAAGGTTCGCCATCACTGGGCTAGGTTAAAAGGTCAAATTTAAATTTTTTTAAAAATCAGTCCATAGGTCAAGGCAAGGTAAGTCATTAAAGGCAGAAAGGGTACAGAATTCTCAAAGATGTAGCAGACATAGATCAGGTGGTCATAGATTTTTTTTTTTTTTAAGCAAAATAAAGCAAGCTCAGAATTTAAACTAGAGATTGTTCTTTACTGGGTGTGGTTAGGCTCCTGCTTATGGTCCAGTGAGAGAGCCAAAGCCCTGTATCTTTAACTACTTCTGACTAAGCAACAAAAGAGGCATGCTAGTGGTTCTGGGAGGATTCTTAGAATCAGAATCTCTAGCACTGCTCTCTCTGATGATAAAAATTTTCAATTTCTTTGCTCTTCATTGATGGACTGAATTTACTTCAATTTAAATTTAGTAGCCACATATAGCTAACAGCTATCATATATGCATCTTTATAGTTCATGATTTAAGAGAGCTTGCCTTAAGTGCTTTTAAAAAGACGAAAAGATTAAATTTCGTATTATAATTGAGTATTTATAAGGAAATACCAGTATCAATAATTTTGTGTACATATGTATTTTTTAAATCAGTATATTATAAAGCAAATATTTTTCTTTTTGTAGGATCATCTTCTATGGCATCTGCATGTTGTGGAAGTTTAGCATTAATGGATGCAGGTAAAAGAATTATGTCTCAAAACTTCTAATGCTTTATTATACAGTACTTGGTTAGTATAAAATATAAGATTTCTTTCAAATTGAATATTTATTAGTAAGACTTAGAGAAGTGATATTACAACTTACCAAACCAGGCCAGAAGCAAAGTAGTCACAAATATCTGCTGGCATTCCTATTTTTTTTGGCTAAAAGCAATACACTGAAATTGTTAACTTGCCCTTGGTGATCCAGTAAGCTTTCTCACCTTCCAAAAGGTGGAGAGCTCCACCTTTCACTAAAGTTGATTCCAGTAGTAGGACTGATAAGGGAAAATAACCATGTAATCATCCAGCCACTTTGTGTAAGTTATGAGAAGAATAATGCCACTCATAGAGTGTACACATAATTTTAAGAAGGAAGACTACAAGTGGTTAAATATAATCTTTGAGTCTGAAACACTAAAAGGGAAAGAGTCAAAAACTTAAGAGTCTCTAATAACAATTATTGCCAAATAGTCACTAATGATGCTATTCGAGAAAGAAAAAGGAATCTAAAGTCACTCAAGAGGCCACACAAGGAGTTCCCCTATAAGTTTACACATTTACAGTACAAGTATGAAAGACAGGACAACCTATCGAAGGACAAAATAAAAGAATGGTGTGAATATATAACATTATCTAGGGAGATTAAAATTTAAGCCAAAGGGAAAAAAGCTAAAAGCAATTAAAGGTGTTTTTCTAGTTGTGTTCCATGGAAGGGAGACAATCTGATATTTAAGGTAACTAGTAGAATACTATTTCTATTTTCACCTTCAGGCATTCATTCAACACATCTTTATTGTATGCCACCCTTGTACCAAGCACTGATCTTAGTAGGACACAAAACAAAGTCCCTGTCCTTGTGGAGCTTGCATTCATCAGTCTTCTAATCTCAGTTTGGAAAACACAGAACAAATTCTGAAAAAGGTGAACTGAAAAGAGATTATAAGAGTTTTCAACTGTTTTAAATTAATTCAGATCTTTTGATTTAGACAAAAATCCATCCCAAGTATGACAAGTACTTCAAGATGAGATAACTGAAGTGTTTGAGAAATCACAGAGTCTAGTTAGTATACCAAAGACACAAAAAGTTCTTACTTCTGAAAGCAAAGAAAGGTATTTTCTATAAAGTATAACTCAGTGAACCTGAAAGTGACCCTCAGCAAGACTCTTAGGTACACTATAAAAAGAATGGTTTATAAGGATTTTGTAAGGGAAGAGGGCTGTGGAGAGTAGGAACCAGAGAAAGTCAAAATAAGCCATGCCATAGTAAACTAATATTTTGTTTTCAAAAATATTACTAGATTTGGAGTGAGGAAGGAGGGTACTGCTTATGCAGTGTATCTAAAGTTCAGCCTTTATGATCTTTGTATAAATAATGCAGAAATTGAAACTGGATGCTAGGTGCACATTTCATAACTGGTTGAAGGATGAGCAAAGGGGTTTTGTTAATCTGATGGGTTGGTAGGAGAAGGGTCTCAAGTGTAATACTTGAGGATGTGTCACCCTAAACCTTGTTCTTTTCACTATCTTTGTTCATGAGTTGACTAAGAACACAGGCCTACCAATAAAAAGGATACTGATAGAAACCAATGAATGCATAAGTAAATGCAACAGTAAATTGATGTCTGTCTCTCCTTCCCTCCTCCCCCCTCTAAAATCAATCAACAAAAAAAAGCGTTAAGATTACTATTATTAGAGAGAGCTTTGTGCTAAAAAGAATTATTACTTGTTAGAATTGTTTTTAAGGGGCTTTTATTGTACGTTTAAGAAAAATGAGGTAGTTAGATGACTTATTAAGATCTTTCCACCCAGTGTGGCTCAATTGGTTGAAAGATTGCTGGTTTGATTCCTGGTCAGGGCACATGCCCAGGTTTCAGGCTCAATCCCTGGTAGCGGGGGCATGCAGGAGGCAGCCAGTCATATTTCACTCTCACATAAATGTTTCTCTGTCTCTCCCTCCTTCTCCCTTCCTCTCTCTCTCAAAAATCAATTTGAAAATCTTAAAAAAAAAAGGAAGGGGGGCGGGGCGGGGTCTGTAACCAGAACCCAGAAGGAGTCAGATACCAAAGGACACAGCCAGGTAGGGTGACCTCACAAGGAGGGAAATTTTTTTTAAAAAAAAGACCTTTCCAAATTAGTTTCAGTGACTGTCAATTTAGAATACCATCCACTTACATTAAAATAAATGTCAAGAGAATGATAAATGTATGTGTTAGGCTGATGTATATATCACACAGAAGTTCTTTCTCTCAATTACAGGGGTTCCTATTTCATCTGCTGTTGCGGGTGTTGCAGTAGGATTGGTGACCAAAAACAATCCTGATAAAGATGAAATAGAAGATTATCGTTTGCTAACAGATATTCTGGCAAGTATATTCACATTTTCCAATACTTAATGGTAAAGATTATACATACTTTACAAGCATCTTTGCTTAAAAGAATGCTAGGACTCAAGAAATAGAGGTCCTTGTTCTTGATTTCCTCCTCTACATTTTCTCCTTGTTTTTTATAGGATGTGAGTTAAAAATATATATTACATATAAATATCCATAGTTTAGCTCACTTTAGGATAATCATAAATTAATCCTTATGCTTTTAGGGAAAAACATGATCTAAAATAGTGATTTTTCAGATGAAATATTTGTAACTTGAAAGTCACAAATTGGAAGCAGTTAAAATATGTGTGTCATCTTAGAGGACACAGTTTACTATATCTAAAGCTATTTTTTAAAATTTCTCTACAATAACAATGAGTGAATTTTGTTTGTATTTAAAACTAAATCATAATTTCTTAAATTCCTTAAGGGAATTGAAGATTACAATGGTGACATGGATTTCAAAATAGCCGGCACTAATAAGGGAATAACTGCATTACAGGTATTTTTAAACCCATTTTGTTTCATTTTTATAATATTTAATAATGTCGTGAATCAGTATTTATATAATATTTGGCTTTTCCTTATTAGGCTGATATTAAATTACCTGGAATACCATTAAAAATTGTAATGGAGGCCATTCAGCAAGCCTCAGGTAAGCCAAGCCAGTGTGCCTCATTCTCCTTTCATCATTATCTACTTTGTTAATGGAACTCTAATTCCCAGTAGGCTTATTATAAAAAATAGGCTTATTAGAAAGCATTGCTTTAGAAAATGAAATTTCATGTAACACCCTCGATCAAGAAGTATTAAGTTATTAGACACATAACTAACCACCAAAGTGGGAGGCCACTAAAAATTCAAATTTTTCAAATTAAGTAACTTTCTAAGATAATAATAATAGAGAAGGAAATACAAGTAGAATTGTCAAGGTAACAAATGTGAAGAGCTTTTATTATTAAGCTAAAAAATTTGAATTTTATGCCATAAAAACTAAGACAACTGCTGCTATAACTTATCATATTTAGTTTATGTAGTTATTATTTTTATTATGTTTTTAATCTCTCCTAGTGGCAAAGAAGGAGATACTACAGATTATGAACAAAGTTATTTCAAAGCCTCGGGCATCTAGAAAAGAAAATGGACCTGTTATAGGTAATAAAATTATTACTGGTTTCATGATAAGATAAATGTTAATATTATAAAAACTCTTAAGTAACCAGGACATGTTTTAGATTCATATATGTATTTATTTATATTTTTGTCTATACTACATTTCAGAAACTGTTCAGGTTCCATTATCAAAACGAGCAAAATTTGTTGGACCAGGTGGATATAATTTAAAAAAACTTCAGGCTGAAACAGGTAAGTGTTATATGAAGTTTGGGTTTTTTATGTAATGCTAGGCCATGTAAGTTTGTCACTTCATTTCTATTGCGTTGCTCTAAAAATATATGTTTGGTAAATGAGAGGAAGGCCAAAAGAAAAGAATATAACATAGATATGGCTTTACTGTAAGTTTTCTGTATGCCTATTAATAAATTAGCAAATGATCATCCTTAACTGTCTTCAAGAAGGATGACCTAGAATTCCTAGTTTTTTTGCAACAATTTAAAATCAAGCATTTAGAAAAATGTTGAGTTTTTCACTTTCGAGTTCTGCTTTAATTTTCTCTTACAATTACTTCTGCCGTTTTTCACATAGCGTTACTCTTATTTTTAAAGAGTAAGTGTAGGAATAGTAAGCTTTAATTTGTTTTTTTCTGAAAGCAAACTTTGGGTTACCTAGTACTTACCAGCTTTGAGATTATTGAAGGAGAGTGAGGAGAGTCATTAAGATTGAGAAACTGACATGATTTCTTCCCTTATCCACTGTTCACCACTCTAAAGGATAAAAGGGAGAGAGAAGAAAAGTTGAAGAAAGAATTCTACTATCGTCTTTACTCATAATTAAGAGAGCAAAACTAAAATCTCCAAAATTAGAACTTGCATGCTTTATCCCACCAGATTATGAGCTACAAGAAAGAGGGGATATTGGCTAGCACCATCTGGATACATACCAGAGATGCAGGGTGTATTTGTTGGTAAATAAATCCCTTCATTCCTAAAGCATTGATTAAACATAGCACAACCCTGCCCAGCTACTTCCAGGTCACTTTCCTCCACTCACATCTTTTCAAACTAATCTCCACTGGAATGAGCAAGTTAACTTTAATATGTTAAATTATCTTTTTAAAAGGTGTAACCATTAGTCAGGTAGATGAAGAAACATTTTCTATATTTGCACCAATACCCAGTGCTATGCATGAAGCAAGAGACTACATTATGGAAATCTGCAAAGATGATGTAAGTATGGATCTTATAACAGTTATTTTTCTCTACTTTTTGTTGCTGTTTTCTTAATGAATCTTACGGCTTATTTTGCACTTACAGCAAGAGCAGCAATTGGAATTTGGAGCAGTATATACCGCAACAATAACTGAAATCAGGTAATACCAAGTAATATGTTTTATTGTTTTTTTTAATAAGATTTATATTATAAGCTTCATATATGTTTGCTTTATTTATTTAGAAGTTATGTTTAGACTATATGTCAGTTACCATATAATCATTAATTATTTTAAGGTATAAATTTATTTTCTACATCAGTTTGTAGATTTTCAGTAACATGGTTCTGTAATTACAAATTATAATAATAGATTCTTTTAACTGAATAGTTTAACCAAATTTCCTATCTTTTTAATTTTCCCAATAAATAGTTAACAAACCCAAAATAGACTATTAGCAATATTTAGTTTTTCTTTCCTTTTGCTTTTTCTCTCTTTGGTATTTTCTTGTTGGTCTTAAGTACTATTTATTGCCTATGTAGTACATTTTATTTTTACTAGATAAAAAGATTGATTTTAAGGATCAGAAAATCCTTTTCTACGAAAAAAATAAATTATCAGATGTAGCATGAATGTTCAAAGCAATTTGAAATGAATAATAAAAGGCAATGGGATAATGTAATATTAAAGGTGAGAACTACGAAATGGAATGGCTGATTTTAGATTATAGAAAATAAGAAATTTTTAAATAAAATAAGTATACCAGTTATCTAACCTCCTTCCTTAAATCACTGTGTAATAAGTTGATGGTAATTCTTAAAATATTTAATGTCATTTCAAAATTTTTTGGAAAATTTAAGAGAAATACAGAAAAAGAATATATATATATATATATATATATATATATATTCTAAAGGCTTTTCACTGCATGATTTTCTGTTATCTTTTCTCTGTCCTTTGATACATAGTATTTAAATATTTAAATAGGGTATATTTTTAATTGAAAAAAGTATCCCTTTTAGACAATCATACTTCTTATAGTTATAAAAACATGTACTGAAACCTTAAACTTATACAATGTTATGTGTCAGTTATATCTCAATAAAACTGGAGAAAAAAAGAAAGAAAAAACATGTACTGGAGGGATTTTTGTTTTTTTATTTTGTTCTCTTAGGAAAACATAATCACAGTTTGATTATCAATGGATACATAGATACTTAATGTTTTAACCAGGCCTATTTCCTTTTTTGTAGAGACAGTGGAGTAATGGTTAAACTATATCCAAATATGACTGCAGTACTACTTCATAACTCACAACTTGATCAACGAAAGGTAAAAAAAAAAAAAGACATTTTATTTTTCAAACTGCCTTAAAATAATCATAGTGAAATTTACTGGGCTGGTGAGAACTGTACACTCTGTCTACTACTGGCCTAATATAGAAAACCAAAACTGATAGAAATGCTGCTGACAAAAGGTTTTACATTATTTATCACAGATATTTGTTTCTCCTTCCATGACGGAATAGAAACGGCTCTTGAAAGTTTTGGGGTGAAATAACATCTAGAGTTAACACAAAGCAATTACTTAAAATAGCAGTAACCCTGTTTTCCCAATTTTCTTGACCAACCAATCAAGGCAAGATAATTCTTAGGATATTTTTAAATTTACTTAATATTTGTTATAGTTCATAGGCAGAATATGAAAATACTCAAGAAAACAATGGGACGGAGAGCAGAGGAATAATAGGAGTATCTATTTTTTCATATATTAAAGCATAAAGCTATAGAGAACAAAACAGTGTATTACTGACCCTGAAATAGATGATGCATAAAACAGAAATAAACCCAGTTATGGACAGGGGACTACTCAAGGAAGAATCAGAGATTATTCAATAAATCGTATTGTTACAGCTGGTTATCATAAAGAAGGATCTCTACTCTTAATACCAAAATCCCATCTGGATCAAGGAGCTAAATGTAAACAAAAAATTGGGGCATGGAAGGCTGTTGAGAGAGGACTAGAATATTTTAATCTTCTGCCTGGGTAAATATTTCTCAGCACGGTATCAAAGCCAAAATGTAAATAAATTAATAATACTGTATCTCATTATATTGCAAAATTACAATAAGATTGAAAGACAAACAACAACTTAAAGAAAAAATGCTTGTAACATATGACAAAGATTTCATATATAAAGATCTTGTATAGGTCAGTAAGAAAGATGAATATCAATAGGAAAATGAGCAAAGAATATGACAGACCAATCATTTTTTAATGCCAACCAAGATATTCAAAGTTATCATTTTTCAATTTTATGATAGTTGAAAATTCCCAGTATAGAAAAGAATGTGGAAAAGAAATAGACATTCTCATACAGTGCTGATAGTAATATAAATTGGAGCCAACTTTTTGGAAAGTATTTGGTAATATATATGAGTACCTTTGGACCTAAGAGTTCTACCTAGGTCTTTGTTCTAAGAGGATAATTAGAGTAGATGAATACATAATCATTTCAACACTGCAGTTAATTTTTTGTCAACTTTTTATTTTGGAAAATACACTGAAACCCATATCGCTTTCACCTATATTTATCAATTAGCATTTGCAACCCTGGAATTTTAAAACAAAGTAAGTGACCATATATAGGGGATTGGTTATACAAATTACATCATTCAGTACTCAACTGTAATGTTTCATTTATTGATATGAAAAGACGTCTTCAACACATTGAATGAAACAACAAGCTCAGAAAGGTCCATTTTAACAAATGCAATACAAACACTAAATAGGGAAACATTTGAAGAGATACTCATTGGAGTGTTAGCAATAATTTATCTACAAGTAGAAGGGTTTTAGATGCTTTTTACTATCATCTGAATACTTATGTATTATTTTAAATCTTTATAATTGTGATTTTATAATCAGAAAAACCAATAAAGCTATTTTCCACTTGGGGAAAAATGGGTATTTCCATAGATATTAAGTAATTAAAATGACAACTAATAGTTTAACATGTTCTCTTTCAGATTCAGCATCCCACTGCCTTAGGATTAGAAGTTGGCCAAGAAATTCAGGTACTTGTATTCAACCCTTTAGCCTAGAATTGTAAATTGTACTTAAAGTTTCAATTATTGTTTCAAAAAGTAAGCTGAAAGAATCAAATCAACATTTGTTGTTCCACTTATTTATGCATGCACTGGTCGCTTCTTGTATGTCCCGACTGGAGATTGAACCCACAACCGTGGTGTTTCAGGAAGGACACTCTAACCAGGGCAATGTTTGTGATTTGTATTATTTATCTGCTGTGCTTCTTTTTTAACCTTAGGGTTGCTTAAATAGACTCATTAAGGATTTAAGACAATTCATTCCCTCGAGGAGTTTATAGTTTACAGTTTAGTTAGAATAATAGTTCCATTTAGAGCTTTTAAAATTACACGAACAGGTCAGTGATGGCCATGCAGAGTCAGTGATTTAGTGACAGGACAATAGAACCCTGATAACTCTGTTAAGGATCTTGAATGTCATATTTAAAGAGTTGGGACTCTAATACACTGCTTGAGGATAAAAGTTTTTGAGTTTGATAAAAGCCATATTGTTCAGTTCCAGAATTGATAACAAAATTGGCCTTTTTTAATAGTCCTTTTGGAGTTGATGAAAGAACTTATTGCCAGTCTGAGTTTCTTGGGCCACACCACCTTTTGTTCCAGCTATACCTAATACCCACGATCTGAGTAACTATGGCTTCTAATTTATTCCCAGTCTGTAAACCCATTGTTCAAGTAGCCTCTAGGGAAAGATGAGAACTAAGACATAATATCTCTGTATAAGACTTTTCTTTTAACATCATAAGGGATTTTAAATACTGCCACAGTTCCCCCTGACTTTCATTGTCTAAGATCAAGCCAAATAATCTCCAGTGTGATAGTCCTTTGAGCAGTAGTCTGAGTGACCTACGTGTAATCCTGTATAGTTTGTAGCACAATTAGGCTCAAAAGCCCTTGTAGAATCATTTATCATGACTTTCACTTGATTTCTGGTGTAGGGACCTGCCCTGGAGAGAATAAGAAGGCACAAATTAATCTAACAGAAGATTATAATTAGGCAAATAATACCCCGTCTCTTTTCCTTTGTTATAATCACTGCTTAACCAAATTATATTTATTAGAATATACCCTCACTTAGCACTGAGCTATGGTTTCAGTAAACAAGGAAAAACTTTAAAAGTAAATTTGTTTCTTTAACACAGGTCAAATATTTTGGACGTGATCCAGCTGATGGAAGAATGAGGCTTTCTCGCAAAGTGCTGCAGTCACCAGCCACAACTGTTGTCAAAACTCTACATGACAAAAGCAGTATTGTAATGGAAGAATCTGTTTCACAGTCATCTTCTAATTCTTCCCCATGATATATTTTTTTAAAGAGAATTAATTCTAGAGTAATAATCTGTAGAGCAAAATTTCAATATTACCTTCTAATGTATAGATTTATATATACTATAAATATATTCTAATGATTTATATTAAAATGCTCATTTACATGTGCCATTTTTTACTT